GGTTGCGCTGGCGGACGGGAGCCACACACGCGCGAGAGAGAGAGAGAGAGAGAGAGAGAGAGAGAGAGAGAGAGAGAGAGAGAGAGAACCAGTGCCTCCGCCCGCCAGCGCAACCTCCCGCCAACGCTCCCCTCCACCATTCTCACAACCTCCCGCCAACGATCCCCTCCGCCATTCAACAGCCGCGCGCACGCAGCATAAGGACGCATGTGCAGTTTCAACGGGCGCGCCCCGTCCGCCAGAGCAACCCCCCGCCAACGCTCCCTTCCATCATTCTCTCTCTCTCTCTCTGTGGATCAGTTGGTGCTACGTGCTCTCTCTCTCCCCTCCTCCCTCCCTCCCTCTACCCCTCTCCCTCTCTCTCTCTGTGGTAGGTGAACCGGTGTTTCTCCGTGCTTCGCGCTTTGGTGCTACGTGATTCGTGCTTGGTGCTACGTGGTTCGCGTTACTTGAGTTAGTGCGACGAAAACTTGCTGCGTGATACTGGCTCCGTGCTACGTGGTTTGTGCTCAGTGATTGGTGCAGCGTAGACTGGTGCAGCGTAGATTGGTGCTCTCTCTCTCTCCCCCACACACAATGTGGATTGGTGCTTTGCGCAGCGTAGATTGGTGCTCTCTCTCTCTCTCTCTCTCTCCCTTCCACAATGTGGATTGGTGCTTTGTGCAGCGTAGATTGGTGCTCTCTCTCTCTCTCCCTTCCACAATGTGGATTGGTGCTTTGCGCTATGGTGCGAGCACGTGGTTTGTGCTCCGTGATTGGTGCAGCGTAGATTGGTGCTCTCTCTTTCTCTCTCTCCCCCCCAAAATGTGGATTGCTGCTTTGCGCTATGGTGCTACGTGCTTCGTGCTATATGAGTTGGTGCTACGGATTGATGGAACGTTTTTGGAGCCGTGTGCTACGTGCTCTCTCTCTCTCTCTCCCCTCTCTCTCCTCTCTCTCCTCTCTCTGTCCTCTCTCTCTCCTCTCTCTGCTAGGTGAACTTGATGGTTCTTGCTACGTGAACTTGGTGCTTCGATCTACATTCTTCATGAGCATGGTGCAACGTGAACGCGCGTGCGCGCCCGAGGGA